CAAGAGTTCAAATAGCACCTTTAAGACTAACAAATAGCACCTTTAAGACTAACCTTTAAGACTAAGACTAACTGAGTGGTGGGTGTGGCCTTATGACACACTTCCGGTGATGTCAGGGGGTGTGGCCTTATGACACACTTCCGGTGATGTCAGGGGGTGTGGCATATGCTAATGAGTTATGCTAATGAGTTCCCCTAGCTCTTTTTCTACGAAACGACCCCTGGTTCAACTTATCCTGCATCATGTGTATTGAAGTAGGAGGGTACCGTCTCTACAGGAGAGGCCTGCAGAGACATGTGTCTCCATGGAAGACCATGTGCAGCACGTGAGAACACAAAGAAAGGCAGAGATCCCTTCAGTGGGAGACCCCTATACTGATCAGGTGGCGGTGGCTACTGTAGAGTAAAAAGGAGAAGCCCCCCAGGGAGTTGGGAACCCCAAGGAGGGCAAGACAGAGTGGGGCCTGCAGGCCAGAGCGGGCACATTCTGCCACAGTGGCATACATTTGTTCACCTGCATTTTATCCTCACAACAACAACAACCCTGTGGTGTTAGGTTAGGCAGACAGAGAGTGGACCAAGGTCATCCAGTGAGCTCTGATGGCAGAATGAGGATTTGAACCTGGGGCTCCCAGATCCTAGTGTGACACTCACCCTGCTGGCTCTAGTTTTTGTCAGACTCCTGGACAAAGTTTACACTTAACAATACTGCCTTTGGCAGTGATTTGTTTATTGAGAAATAAGCATGTTCCAGGCTAGACCAGTACCGTGTCAGAACGGAGGTTCTGGCGGGAAAATCCAAAGATATGGACAGTTCAAATGAGCCCCCCCCTTTCAGTTACATCCAATCACAGTTCACAAATGTCCCGCATAGCTTCCGCGCTCTCTACACCCCCACCTGTGAATATACGGTTTCTTTATCTATGAGAGCGAAGCAGGCACAGTTTGGCTTCAAAGTCGTCCCTGTACAAGGGAGGTATCTTAGGAAGAGTTACATCAGCCTACAATAGAGCACGTCACACACTCAGTCATTCACACCCCCTTCAGGAATTTCTCTCCCCGTGTAAATCATGGCAAACTAGAGACTAAATTTGACAGTTTTGTTGGGGGGAGCTTTTTGGGGTATTTTTTGTATTTTTATATATGTGTGTGTGTGTACATGTGTGCACCTGGATGTCATGGTGACCTCTGGTAACCATAGGCGTAATCTTCGTGGGGGTGGCGGGGCGTCAGCCCCCGCCGAAATTTTCAGGAAGGTGCTCAGCCTCCCCCGGGGCCACCCTTGCTCCTAGCACAGCAATGCCTCTGGCCCAGCCCCAGCCACCACCACCCCGGGAAATTGGAAAGTCTACACCCTAGCACAGGGCCCTGATCTCTTCTGGAAGAGTGTTCCACCAGGCCAGGGCTGAAAAAGCCCTGGCCCTGGTGGGGGACAGAAGGACACTCTTTGGGCATGTGGAGCCCAAAGAAAAGGCAAACAGTCCCTAAAGCTAGATCCAGGTAGTCAGCCGTGTTGGTCCGAAGCAGTAGAACAAATTCAGAGTCCAGTGGCACCTTTAAGACCAACAAAGGTTTATTCAAGGTATGAGCTTTTGTGTGCATGCACACTTTTTCAGATACCTCCCATTCCATTGTATTTTAAAATGTGTGCCTGCACACGAAAGCTCATACCTTGAATAGTCCCTGAAGCTGTTTCTAATGGGGAAAACAGGACAGGAAGGAAGGATGAAGCCCCTACTTTCCCCTGGCAGCATTTGAAGCCACAGGAAACAATGGGGAAGTCTTTAAAGGTTGGTCTGTGTGTGAAAATGTGACTGAGGCTCAGGTTGGGCACTTGGAACCTGACTCACGTCACACATAATGTGTATTTTGGCCCTCAAATGTATTCTGTTGAGCAATCGTGGAAAGCAGAAGAGAAAAAACAAAATGATTGTTGTCTGGGAAGTGGGAATTGCGACCTTTCCAAGTACTGTCCCCCTTTCTGAGTATCATCCCCTTTTGCAGTGTGCGGAAAGCCGGATAATCCAATTGAGAAAGTGCAGCGGATTATTGGTGGTAGCACAGCACAGCCGGGCAGCTTCCCATGGCAGGCAAAAACTGTCATGTCTGGGCTCGGGCGTGCCGGAGGGGCGTTGCTGGGTGACCGCTGGATCCTGACAGCCGCCCACACCTTGTACCCCAAGGGGCGAGCCGAATACGGGCCCAGGCAGAGTCTCGAAGAGATGGCTGAGAAAGTGGAAGTCTTCCTGGGCGCCATCAATGTGACCGAGCTCCACAAGTTGGGCAACAAGCCCATCCTCAGGCTCTTTGTGCACCCAGACTACAACCCGGATAATGAGCAGAACTTTGACGGAGACATCGCGCTCATCGAGCTACGGGACCCTGTGACCCTCGGCCGCGACGTCCTGCCCATTTGTCTCCCGGATCCACAAAACACTTCTTTCTACGGCCGAGGGCGCGTGGGGTACGCCAGTGGCTTTGGCGTGGGATCGGGCTTGCCTGGGCTATCCAGGTCAGGCCCCTGCTGGCTCTAGTTCTGTCTAGTTTGGTGCTTGGACACTGAAGGCACATGGAAGAGGATTCTATCACGAAATCTAAAATGTACGCCTCTATATTAAATACTTTGCAAGTGTAGTTTTTAATCATTTTTTTAAAAAAATCATAAGCGGACTCATTAATATAGGAGACATTATTTTTAAAGGAGATGTCGCGATGATGGCTATTCTACCACTGTTTGTCAGTGTAATTGAATGTCTTGTGAGTGATGCGTCGAGGAGCATCTATAGTATTGGATTGGATCCAGTGAGCTTTTTCACTCAGCCTCCCCCGGTTCTCCTCCGCCATGTAAGCTCCTATCTCACGTGGCTTTTGTCCATGTAAGTCCTGTGAATCCTAGTATACCCATTTTGGCAGTCATGGGGGACTCCTCCCTCAGTTTTTCCTCACGAAAAGCCTGGCCGAGTCCAACCCATGATTTGTTACGGGCCAACGTTCCCCCATTTTTCTGGGGAAATGAGGTATCCACATAATGTGAAGTGTTCTTCCATGAGGAGAGACATCTGGATCTCTCAAACAAGTAACAACTGTGTGTTTATGCAGGGGTCATTTCCTGCAGGAGCGCACAGGAGCGGAGCTCCGGCAGTAAAGAGCCCAGGGGGCGGGCACATGCAACAAGCCCCACCCCCTGCTCCCAGCAGCCCTCAGTCAGAGCAAGAAGCAGCCAGGTAAGTTGCAGAGCCCCCCCGGCGCCCCGGCCCAAAAACGTCCAGTGGCACCTTTAAGACCAAGTTTAATTCAGGTAGAAGCTCTCCCCGGAAAAGCCCCTTAAGTTCTGAGAATTACATCCGTTAGTATTTTAAAATATTTTTTTGATAAATTTCTAACTGGGGGGGGGGAGAGACGGGGGGAAATCCTGAAAACGGGTGCGCAGTTTCTGCAGTAGCAAGAGTACTTTAGTTCTGTCATACTGAGCTTCCTCGAATTGATGTTAGAACTACATGACCCCTCTTCACAGGTAATTAAGCAGCCCTAGTTTCAGAGAGCCGGAAATGGAGGTCCCGGAGTCCTTTCATCCTAGTCAAAAGATGGGAGGGGTGCGGCAAAGGATGCTTGGGTGAAAGATACAGAAGTGCAATTTGTAATTGTAACCTGCTTTGTTAGAGCAGAGGGGAAATGCTGGGGGGGGAGGAAACTAGCATCTGTAAAAGGTAAAGGTTCCCTTGCTCGAAAGCCAGTCGATTCCGACTCTAGGGTTGTGGTGCTCATCTCCGTTTCCAAGCCGAAGAGCCAGCGCTGTCCGAAGATGTTTCCGTGGTCACGTGGCCGGCATGACTAAACACCAAGGCGCACGGAACTCTGTTACCTTCCCACCGACTTGAAAAAGAGCAGTTTCTGTCAAGAGCTCTCTCAGCCCCACCTGCCTCACAGGGTGTCTGTTGTGGGGAGGGGAAGGGAAAGGAGTTTGTAAGCCGCTCTGAGACTCCTTTGGGTAGTGAAGGGCGGGGTATAAATCCAATCTCTTTAGTACATAAATCTTTGTCATTTTTAGACAACTCCTGCCTCAGTGGTCTCTGCATTCTTCTTGCTCACCACAAAACTTTCCTCACGGCAGCAAACCAAGAACCTTTATAGCTGCTACCCCAATTATAACTGGGGAGAACAACACAGGGGAAAGTTTGACTTTAAAATGAGCCCAGTCCCCCAAAATCTCTTAAGAGGGTTTGTGGGTCCCTTTGGGTTGATCTTAGGAGCCTGTCACTCAAACTGTCCTGCCCAGATGGCATGAAAATGTGCTTGAACTGTGCTCGTCCCAAAAGGTCCTAGCAAAGCCAGCTTGGGAAAGAAATGTATTGAGGACAGGGACAGGATGTAAGGAGCATGATTAGAGCCTATCAACATGTTGATGCTCCCCCCACCCCAAGTGCTCCAAATTGGACACCCTTCCTTCCTTCTTTTCTGTTTGGTGTAGTGGTTAAGAGCACCGACTCTAATCTGGGAGAACCAGGTTCGTTCGTTCATTCATTCATTCATTCATTCATTCGTTCATTCGTTCGTTAATTTGTTCGTTCATTCGTTTGTTCATTCGTTTGTTCATTCGTTTGTTCATTCGTTTGTTCGTTCAGTTTATACCCTGCCCTGCCCACCAAGGCAGGTTCAGGGCAACTTACATAAAATTCGTATAAATACACTTAAAACAGTTACAGATAACATCATCATAAAATAACATAACACTTCATATTAAAAAGGTGGTTTGATTCACCACTCTTCCACATGCAGCTGCTGGCGTGACCTT